GGTATGGTTCTTGGACCTCTGCTTTTACTCCAATCTATGGACCCACATGCAGAAGGAAAAGCTTTAGCCTCTCATGCATTAGAAGGGTGGTAAATAAATGCACATTTATATGTTTTACTTTAGAGGGAATTTTTAATGCAGCTTTTTGTGCTTTCCTGCCTTAACTGATGTTTATTTTTAATGTATGAAATACTCATCTCAGTTGTACATGATCCAAGGACTTCTTCTGGGCTTCCTTTTGGCCTTATTTCTGCAGAGTCTAACTTCCGTGGTACACAGACTCACGGTGAAGGTTGTTGATTAATATTTGTAAAGGAATAAACAAATTTCTCAGGAACAAAGTCTGACTGGTTAGTTAAAATCTCTGCAATAAATAGGAATAGAAATAGAAGTATGAGTTTCTATCTCTGGAAAGAACAGAAAAACACGAAGCTGGTTTGCTGTGTAGATTCAGAGAGGTGAAGCAGATAATTGATGCAAAGTCTCATGGTTTCTGATTCAGTACCTTCATTTGATTTGTTGATAATTAGGAGGAGCTGAATTTTTAGAGAGGAAAATAAAGCAACTCAGGGAATAAATGAATGTGGATATAGGTTGAAAGAGAAGAAAGAATTCAGCAAGGAAGATTAGCAACAGGTTATTGTGTATGTCCTGAATTATTACTGTGATATGGAAATAAAATATATACAAACAATACTAACGATGAGTAATTGCAGTGAATTGACTCTCTTGGCTGCCACTGGAAAGTGAACTCCACCAAAGCGAGAATCTTCTCACATTTATCTTTGCATCTCAAGAGCTTAGCCCAGAGTTGGCACATTGTAATTAATAAATAAGTGTCTGTTGAGTGAATTAATGACTGGATAGAACTGAAAGGTTGTGAGATGCAAAATATCCTCAAATGTCTGGATCTTAAACTCAACACATGGGAAGGATGACGGCACAGAACAAAGGTGACTGGGTCGTGTGTTACTCCTTCAGGAGTAGTTTTGAAGTAGGCTTAGGGGCTCCCAGGTTTGTTAGATACATTCTAGAACATAGGATAGCCATGATCATCTCACCTGGCATGTTTCTGCACAGCTGAAGCTAGTGGTCAAGGGCTCTTTCCTGACTACAGATGGCTCAAGAAATGCTGAATCAATGAGGAACCATGTTGATAAGCTTCTAAGGGTAGAAAAGGGCAGCACAGACCAAAGTTAATGCTCTTCTACCTGGGTCTAAGCTTTATATCTCGTCTCAGAGAATGAGATGACATGAGGTCCCTGGGCTTCCTCCTAAATTTCTTGTGGGTGCCTGATTAGTGTGTATTGCTCATTTTTATTTTCCAGAAAGAGTCTTCTGCCATTGAAGGACAGATCTTTTGAAAATGCTAACATTTGGAATTTTATTTTTGGGGAATGGATGTAAAAAGGCACTCAGAAAAGTCAGAGACTCATAACGGTTTAATTATTTCAGTAAGTTAAATGGTAGACAACATGTAAGGGTGTGGATTATCTCTTTTATGCCACACTGTGCAGTCTGTTTTGGGTTCCTCTTTGTTTCCAGGTGCCATTCCAAACTGAGTACCTGGAACAAGGCCTGGAATAAATTAGATGCTCAATAAAAGCTTGTTGAACGACTGACTGAATGCCGCTTTCTCCTCCCTAGCAGCTGGCTAAGCCAGAAACATTTGAAATGTAGCTGGATAATTTTGGTCATGTAGGAGTTCAGATTCATACTGAAAGAGACTGAAGATTGGGCACACAGATCATTTCTCTAGAGAGCTCTTTCCCTCAACTGCTTCCTGAAAATTACACTTGTGTTGGCTTTTATGCTATGGCACAAAATCTACTCATCTAGTCAGATGTTAGAAAAAGGAAAGAGATTTACAGAGAAAAAAAAATTGAGGCACACTCTTAACCAAAGAATGTTTGACCAAAAACTAAGCCCTTAATGTAAAGCAGAATTTTCTAGAAATAGTTTATTTAGAGATGGAACCTTGTCATAAACTGTGGTGAAATGATTCTCTGATTAAAGAGTAAACAGCAAGGAATGATGCCTGATACCGACCATAGAGAGAATTCTTTTGAACTGGAGCTTTTAAGTTCAACACTTAAAACAATTTCTATATTATGTATTATGGTGGAAATAGACTTGTAAACTCTTGGTTATCCATACATATTTCCTGAATCTCAAGTGCCAGCTAGTGTATCTCTTACAGTGCTTTGCCCTGAAAATTAATCATAATTTATGGACTATGTCCCAGAATGCAGATGTTTGATTTTTCTTTTCTTTTTAATACCATTTCACAGAACGAAGTGTGTACAATTCTTTTGATTCCTTCTACATGGAGAAAATTCCTCTTGCTTCAATGCAAATTCTACCAAAGTCTGTTTAAGTTTGTCCCCATCATGTTACAAATACTAATAGGGAGGGACAGGAACCCCAAGGTCATCACACAATAGGAAGAAGAATGAAGGGATATGTCTGAAATTGGACCCTGTAAGAAAGAGCTGTTGCCAAAGAATCTGTCATTCCAACCAAACAACCTGGGGCAATTTAGTCCTGAACTTCCAGCACTGTTGCCATGGTTTCTAGACAAAGACGACAGGGCTGTATTCCAATTATATCCTTCAGAATGACAGGTAACTGAAAAATAGGAAATGGGATAATAAAATCTCAGGTCACCCAGAAGAGGTGTGATAACTACAAGTGACACAGAAATGAGAGATGCACGTCTATGTTTGTTTAAGAAATGCTTTTGTGATTTAGGATGCAAATGTATATTGGGCAAGTCCTCCAGACTTTGCATAGCAATTTTATCCATCATCCAGCTTCTTATTCAAAGCCAGTGTCTCCCACTTAATAGAAATGTTCTTAATAACATTTTAAACTTAAGGAATCTGGGTGCCTGGGTAGCTCAGTTGGTTAAGCAACTGCCTTCAGCTCAGGTCATGATCTTGGAGTCCCGGGATCAAGTCCCACATTGGGGAGTCTGCTTCTCCCTCTGACCTTCTCCCCTCTCATGCTCTCTCTCACTTTCTCACTGCCAAATAATAAAATACAAAGGAACCTGTGAATTAACAGTATTTAAGAGAAAAAAAATCTTGAACAGCGAAAACTAAAAGGTATTTCTTGAATTCTGAAGATATAGCAATGTCATTTTTCCTCCTTAATGCTGGGGTCAAAGCTTATTCTCGGTTTTTCCCTTTTGAAGGCATTTATTGCAAACTTTGCCCCTAGCTTTGAGCCGTGTTTGATAATCAGTGTTATTTTGCCAGAGTTTTCTCTTCTGTTTTCTCGTATGTTATTGGCTGCAAGGAAGATCCTTGCCTTTTCAGTGAGAGGAAATTTTATGTAGAGATCAAAGTGTTCACAATGAACTCTAGAATGGTACTGGTAGTATTAGTTCTGTATTCTCTGCAGTTAAGCAGAAATAGAGCATTTTTTTAATCTCCAAAGCAGCATTAAATAATTTACATAATCTTTAAAGTTTAAAACAATTTTTAATGTAGAGTCTTTAAAATGTTAAGTCTCAGTATATTCACTTATAAAATGGAATAATACCTATCTCTTAGAATCGTGTCTTTAAATTAAATTAGATAATCTATATAAGGTCTTTAGCTCAGCATTTGGCACATACCAGTAAGTAAATGTAGTTTTGTCATTGTTACTACGATTAAACTATCTTCTGTTGTATACATTGTGATAAATGTGAAGCTATTACTATCACAGAGAAACAAGCGAACAAAATTGGTAAATTTAAGGATTTAAAAACCACATATCCACAAAAAGGTTTTAAAGAAGTACTTTAGATGTGAGATTAGATGTGTTTGAATGATGGTGAAAAGAGCATGAATTTACTAAATGGTATTTCAAGGACTACTGCCTGCAGAGTGAGATGGAGACTTCTAGATGGCCTGAAGCCTGCAATCATGCCTCCTGAGTTTTTCCTTAAAGATATTCATTTTTGACACTGTGAGGACAGCATAACATTTTTGTTAACATATTGAATATAACTGTTACGGTTTTATGAAGATCAACTTTAGCATTTTCTTTCTACGCATAAATTCGAAGAGTTTAGTTGGATCCTTAAGTTTGATTGTTACTGTATTCAGGATACATTTTTTTTTCCCTCAGCAAGAATTGGTTTGATTTTATAATGGAAGTAATTAGAAAAAAATGATTTATTTAGTAAGAGATTTCTTATGATAAATCTTGTGACATCAATCCATCTTCTTTATAAATAATGACAATGATAAAGAAAAAAAGAGAATGAATTTCTTTTCCTTCAGAGACTGACTTTTCAAAAAAAATCATCTTGGAGGTTTGGACTAAAACCATTCACACAGTTTATTTTGCTTTGCTTGTCTGGTCTTCACATGTTGATGAATTCCTTTCATTCATAAACCCTGAAATTTGAATTCTATCCTATGTATGTACATATATGTAATAAAGTGCATAATTTTGCTGAGTATTTATGATTAAAGCAAGTAGAGACCTGGGCAACTTCAGATGAAAAGAGGTAAAAAATTCACATATTATGGAATTATATGAAAAATAGCCTTAATTTGTTATTCATATTTTGTTACTCTTCTGTTATTAAAATTTTGGAATAACTGGTTATGATCAAAATTTGAACCATTATTTCAAAAATAAATACAAAGGGTGAAAACTCCAGTAACCCAATTTCTTTTGTCTTCATTCTTTTCTCTAAATGTTCAAAGTGCTGTGGAAAGAGTGTTTTGTCTGTGGAGCAACAGCTTTGTGGGCACACCAAGTTTTCTGCCTGCAAATGGGATTTTGAGTTATTTCTTTAATACATTTCTTTATGGCATGGCTACACCTCACTGAAACATCAGAAGGAAGCAGCTTCTCTGATCCAAAATCTTACCTGGAAAGGTGACATATCTATTTTTGTTGTCATCTTACAACATGGGTCATGACACAGCACGATGACAACTCTACGGGAATCATCAAAATTATGTAGACATTGTGTGGAGAGGGTCTCGGTAACTTACCTTAAAAGAGATTTCATATTGTTCTCCTCCCCAGATTTCTAAACCTGGATCATAGCCACCCAACTCCCAAAACCATTTTCGATCCACGGCGAAGAGACCTCCAGCCATAACAGGAGACCTGTGAAACGGACAAAATCATCTTTAAAGGATTATGGACATTTGCTTGGAAAAAAAAAAAATAAAAGCAAACCTCAAGGTAAGTTTCAGTGGTCAACACTATGACGCTTTCCAGCACTGGTTTTCTGTAGGTGGTATAGGGTTCTGATTGGGTCTCTTGCTGCCCTTGGAATCCTCATGAACTTTTAACTTCACACTTCAGTTTCTAATACGATTCATGCCCAGTAGAGTCACGCTTGCTGCATATATTTATCATTAGAGAGAAATACTTGACTGCTAGTGACTGATCTATGGAGATATCACTCAATTTTATGACTTCTCCTTAAGTGAAAGGAATTTTGTACTATCAGACAGATCAAAGTATAGAAAACACTCTTACAGGCAGTATCTTTGATTTCATCTCTCAGTACGGATTCACCAAGAACTTCCCACACACAGGTCATGTCCATTTTACAGACCATGAGATGGTCAGTAGAAAAAATAACCAACCAGAATTGGTTATTTAGATTACAATGCTGAAGGTAGAATTTAAGCTAGGCCTTTTCACTGTAATTATATTATCCTATTTAGGCTTTCTCTGTCTTTCTAAGAAATATTCCATTTGGTCAAATAATAGATTTCAAGTATTCCATTCCTGTTAGGACACACTGTAGTTCCATTGCTGTGTAATGAGATAATTTATAATCATTGGACCCTGTCCTAAAATTTTTGTAGTTTAAAGGTAGCTCTAGTTTTTTTGAGCACTTAATATGTGCTGGGCTCTTGGCTAAAAGTTTTACTCAGTTCTTTTGAATCATCCTCACTACAACCTTGCGAATATCATTCCTATGTACTGTTTGAAGAAACAGGCAGAGGGAGTTAACGACCAGTGGACTGGAGCTAGTAGTGGTCCTGGAGCTGGACCAGATCCTCTGATTTCTAAGCCTTTGAGCTCTTTACCGCGGCATTGTTTCTGTTTCAGTGTTTGGGGGTTAAGGAGAGACATATACTTAAAGGCAGATATAAAACAATTAGAGAGTGCCTTTATGCAGACAAAGAAATCTATAAAAACACACATTTCCAACATAGTTTTTATCATCATTTTGAAAAACTTTTGAAGTAAAGGATATTTATAAATAAAAATACAAGGCATTAAGGGTTGAAGATACACATTTTCAAATATCTATAAACATATTAGACAAGCCAATTTACAGATCAACTAAAGACTTGCTCTGGATAATGTTTTATGAGGCACTTGAGCAAAATAAGCCTGGATTTCTTTGTGTGTTATATATTTCAAATACTTTGTATATTAAAATGGTACTTGGTCTAATTACTTCCATTTAAGGGTACTTTTTAATGCGTAGACTCTGTGGAGATGGAAAGATTGCAAGGCAGGAAAGGGGATTATTATACCACCTGTGAAAGTGAGTAGGATTAAAAAAATAACCTGAAGTATCTTATGCATATTTAAAATTTTGTTTGAAATAAAAATCCTAGAATCAAATGTAACCTACTTTATCCCCCTCTCCAGCAGCCTAATCTTTTTCCATTTTCCACACACTGAATTTCAGAGCCGAATTACAACCGTAGCTGGAACAAATTAGGACTGTAACATGGATTCGGTGCTGGTCCCCCATGAACACACTACCATAGGTAACCTCTGTTTCCTCAGAGCTTGGGCATACGGGATCAGAACTTCTTGATTCTGTTCAAACTGAGCCACAAATGGAAAGATCGATCGTAAGTCATACAAATACAATCTCATTTGGTCATGGAAAATCTGAGACTAAAATGCATTAAAATGTATGCTGTGCCAAATACATCTCAAAACTAGAATTATCATAGATCTCAAATTATAGATAGTAACAAGAGAAAGACTTATATTGATTTTTTTGTTTGCATATATGTATTGTATGTAATTTTGTTGGACATACAGTATCTTGTTTTCTTAATGAGTTTAAGAAAAAAAAACTGTGTAGTGTTCTAGGTTAGTTTTAGGTATAATAAAATGAATTCAAATGGATCCTTTTTATCTTCATTGATGTTTTTTCCAAGCTCCAAATAAATTAATGTTTCCTATCTTGATTAATGTGAATGACTGGTAAGGAGCCAACTTTTCATTTATATATGTATTTCTTCATATTTGTCCATTAATCTTTTAAACAGCTTAATTGAGGTACAGTTGACATACAATGGATTACATATACTTTAAGTATACAATTTGATGAATCTTGACTTATGTAGGTATACCACTGTGCGGGTATCACCATATTCAAGACTAGGAACTTATTTGCCATCCCCCCAAGTTTTCTTGTAATCTCTCTCTTCTGACCTCATTCTAGGTCAGAAGAACCTGACCTTTGTCTAGGTTACTAATCTGCTGTTACTGTATATTAGCTTGAGTTTCCAGAATTCTATATAAACATCATATGATTTGTTTTCTTTTTCCAGGTCTGGCTTCTTTTATTCAGTATAATTATTTTTAGCTTCATCTATGTTTTGCATTTACTAATAGTTCATCCTTTTTTATTGCTGAGTAGTATTCCATTTGAATGACAATATCACAGTTTATCTGCTCACTTATTGGTGGACATTTGGATTGTGTCCAGTTTTGAGCTGTTATAAACAAAGGTGATAAGAATTTTGATTCCTAGTCTTTGTGTGGACATATGCTTTCATTTCTCTCTCAAGGAAATGCCTAGGAGTGGAAAGACTAGATCATATGATGGGTATATGCTTAATTTCCAAAAAATGGTCGAACTCTTTTTCAAAGAGGTTGTGCCATTTTTTATTCCCAATAGTAGTGTTTGAGTTCCAGCTGCTACACGTTCTCATCAATATTTGATGTGGGCAGTCTTTTGAAGTTTAGTCATTATGATAGGGATATAATGGTATCTCAGAGTGGTTTTATTTTGTGGTTCCATGACGATTAATGATGTTGTGCATATTTCTGTCACTTCTCTCATTTTCCTTGTCAGTCTGGCTAGAGGTTTACTGATTTTATTGATCTGCTTAAAGAACTAGCTTTTGGTTTCATTGATTTTTCTCTGTTCTTTTCATTTATAGTTCATTGATTTCTCTTTAGTTTTTATTGTTTTAATCTTCTACTAACTTTGTGTTTAATTAGCTCTTCTTTTTCTCATTACTTAAGGTAGAAGCCAAGATCATTGATTTAAGAGTTTTTTTTCTAATATAGGTATTTAGTACTATAAATCTTTCCTAAGCAGAATCTCACAAAAAATGATATGCAGTGTTCTCATTTTCATTATGTTCAAAATACTTCCTAACTTCTCTTTTGTTTTCTTTCTTTGATCCATTAGGTATTTAGACATGTGCAATTTAGTTTCCAAATATTTAGGGATTTTTTATTTATTTTCATTTTTATTTATTTTTTAAAGTTATTTTTTTAAGATTTTATTTATTTATTTGACAGAGAGAGAAAGCACAAAGAAGGGGAGTAGCAGAGGGAGAGGAAGAAGCTGGCTCTCTGCTGAGAGGGGAGCCAGAAGCAGGGCTCAATCCCAGGATCCTGGGATTATGTCCTGAGTCAAGGCAGACGTTTAACCTACTGAACCACACAGGTGCCCCTATTTAGGAATTTTTTTTTTTTTTTTGAGGTTTTTTTTTGTTACTGATTCTAATTTAATTTCACTGTGCTCAGAAAATATACTTCCTATGACTTGAATCCTTTCAAATTTATTATGACTTTTTAATGGCTCAGAATATGGCCTATCTTGGTAAATGTTCCATCTATGCTTGACAAAAATGTGTATTCTGTTGCTTTTAAGTGGAGTGGTCTATAAATATTTATTAGATAAATTTGGTTGATAGTGCTATTCAAGTCCTCTATATTTTTATTAATGTTCAGTTTCCTTGTTCTATTAATTAGAGAGAGGGATATTGTAATGTAGGACTATAATTCTGAATTTGTTTATTTCTCTGTGTTATTCTATGAGTTTTTGCTTCATGCATTTTGTAGCTCTGCTAATAAGTACATAAATGTCTAGGATGTTTATGTGCTCTTGATGAATTAGCCTTATTCTTGTTATGAAGTGACTTTTATCATCTCTGGTAATATTCTTTGGTTTACCACTTCAGCTTTCTTTGGATTTGTACTATTTAAACACTAATATTTATGACTTTTTAAAATTTTACTTTATTTTAAAAACTATTTGTGTCTTTAAAGTGGTTTTCTTGTTGGCAGCATATACTTGCACATTGCTAATTTATAATCTCTGCCTTTTAATTGGGTTATTTAGATCACTTACTTTTAATATGATTATTCATGTGGTTAAACCTTAATCTATCATCTTGTTTGTTTTTTATTTGTCCCTTTTATTTATTTTTTTTTAAAAGATTTTATTTATTTATTTGAGAGAGAGAAAAGGAGTGGGCATGAGGTGGGGGAGAGGGAGGAGCAGACTCCCCACTGAGCAGGGAGCCGGATGTGGGGTTCAGTCCTAGGACCCTGGGACCATGACATGAGCCAAAGGGAGATGCTTAACTGACTAACCCACCCAGGTGCCCTCTATTTGTCCCATTTATTTTTCTTTTTCCATCTTTTGATTCACTGAATATTGCTTGTGATTCCATTTAATGTCCTTTTTGACTTAACAAAGACTCCTTATTTTTTTATTTAAGTGGTTGCTTTAGGGTTTATATCATGTGGTTTTTTTTTTTTAAAGATTTCATTTTATTTATTTGACAGACAGAGATCACAAGTAGGCAGAGAGACAGGCAGAGAGAGAGAAAGGGAAGCAGCCTCCCAGCTGAGCAGAGAGTCCGATGTGGGGCTTGATACCAGGACCCTGGGATCATGACCTGAGCCAAAAACAGGGGCTTTAACCCACTGAGCCACCCAGGTGCCTCTCATACATGTTTATTTTTGATCACAGTTTATCTTCCAGTATATTGTACTACTGCACATATATTATAAAAACCCATTGATAATATGCTTTCATTTTTCTTCCCCCAGCCTTTGTACTTTGTACTTTGTTGTCTTATGGTTCCATGTGTTAT